GGGAGAACGAGATCCTTTGCAGAGGCATCTGAAGCGTCGGCTGTTTTCTGAACCGAATTCTAAAAATTAATCGGCTTTTTCTCAAAATTTTTCTTAGACAGCTGAAAATGCAGAATTTTTAGGGCTATCATATGGGCTTCAATACAGGATATAATTGTGCCGAGTCCACCAATTTTGCATCCGATCGATGGATTGATTTTGGTAATTCTGTTCTTTTTTTTTCTGTTTTGTGCTTCTTCTGGGCTTGTGAAAGCAGCCGGCTAATTTTTTGATCGTATAAAAATAAAATTGAGAATAATCTTGCTGCTAGGATAATCTTTTAATACATCATCGCAATTTTTGCTAATTTTAATTGACTGTCAGGTAAAAATGCATTGGTTTGTGCTTGCCGCACAGATAGCGTTGAGATTGATATGCGTCCGTTTATGAAGGCCCATCGACCGGACGAATACGATGAGTGGTACCAGTACTGGTATGGAGAAAGAGTTGTCAAGGAGAAAACCAGTAATTATTTTGTCCTTATTCAGCAAAATCTTGTGCTGAATTTTGTATTTTGATCCACCAAAAACAGCATAAACCATCTCTTGACGCCCTGAGCTTTCGGAAATGGCATGCTTCGATTTTGGTTTCCTACACCTCATCGCTCGCATACTTTATTCTCGGTATTCTGCTGGTTTGTCAAATTTTTTAGGATTTTAGCAAAGCCGTTTCGTAATTTACGGCATTCGAATGTTCGAAGTACTTTAAAAATATCGCATGATTTTTTTATTCGTCAGAAAAAGTGATGTCGGCGAAACGACAACCAATTTATGAAGAAAAAGCAGTTGAAAAGAAAAAACGTAGGAAGACGCAGAAAACGGGAGGAACACGCGGCCCACATGTTCAGGATGATGACAGTGCTGGTAGTTCGGGTATGTTCATTAGAAAACTTTCCTGGAGTACTGCGATTAGCCGCAGTTTCGTCGTTTTATTTTCTAATCATCACTAATTCAGCTGCCAACATCGCCTTCCTTTTTTTGATTTTTTTCTTCTGCATTATTTTAAAAAAAATCATTCGAAGGCTACGCACCAAAAACAACTAGGTCAGCGATTTGTCAAGAATGTGAGATAACGAATGGAGAATCAGAGAATGGTACTCACGCAGTGTTAGAGCTGGGCAATGAGCACAAATCGTCCTTTCTTGTCTTCCAACATTGCTTGAGTACCATTCAGTGATTGTCCATCCGTTGTTTCTCATTCTTGACCTATCGCTGAAGCAGTTCTTTCTGTTAATGTACATTTGCCTCAATATCGATTACGCAGGACCTAATATGGAAGAGCAATGAAATACATAAATTTTAACGCATCTAAAATCATATGAATTATATGGTAAAGCTCTAGGGCTTCAGTCGTTTCAATCTGTTCTAACAACTGAGGTATTACTTACAACTGAGTTATTACTTACAACTGAGGTATTGCTTACAACTGAGGTATTGCTTACAAGTCCCAAATGCATCTGTAAGGCAAAATTCCCTCGAACGAATGTATTTCTTTGCCGCAGTGCGGGCACATATCTTCGGCATTCTGGATACCTTTTCCCT